TCTACTAGGTAAAATGATGCTTCCAAAAGAAATATTTACCTTTCTTTATTATATCAGCAGCTCATTATCTAATAATAATAATTATACTGTCAAAATCAATTTGAATCACACACCAGCTTATAATTCCAGCTTGCTACAGTGATGATCATGAGAGAGCTTTGTTTTTAAACAGTATTGAGAGGGGAAAAAATGATAGTATTGCCTGTATCTAAATCTCTTATTTGAGACATGGAAAGTACTCATTAGTTACTAGATTAGTGAAAATAGGATTATTAATCTTTTTAAAATAGAGGAACTAATTCTTCACTTCATTGTTATTGTTAATTTTCAGACCTACAATAAGAGAATGTTACAAACTTGGTAATGATGCAGTGGTTTTCAACTTTTTTAGGCTGCGTATCGCTTTCCAAATAATGAAGTATCACATGCTGAGATAGGGTCAGAATATACCTATGAAAACCGGAGGAAGGAGGAGTTTGTAAGGGAAAACATAATGTGGTGTCTGCCATTAGAGGATTTTTCTACTGTACCTTTGATGAGAGCTCACGTACCACAATTTGAAAACGGCTACAATAATTGAATATAGCTACAGAGTACAGCGGATTGTGGAGATCACATATATATTGAGATGTATCAAGCAAATAGTCATTGATCTGTATGGAATTTTAATAATTTTCTCAGGTCATGTTTTAACATTAAGATACTTCTGGTATTTTGTTTTAATAGTTACATCAGCTTTTCCTTGACTTTTTATCCAGATAATCCACTATTTTCAATTCCTTGGAGTGGATTTGTGAGATGATTTTTTCAAAGGTATGGAAAAACCTGTATAAAAGATAGAACAAATCATTGTGCCTTTCAAGCTTTAGTCTTGGACTCAGTGCAACTAAATGAAAACAGTGTGCAGATCACTGAGTAGGTCAGGCTGAGGGGGTACAAAGCCTTTGAAGCTTTACGGGGGTTGACCCAACAACAACTGTGGGCCCCTATTGGGAAAGTCATTAACTCTATGAATGCCATATAAACACTCTCATGGAAAACTCAAACTCAGCACTTCCATTTTATTTTAAAATGTCTACTATACATTTCAGCTTTTTTTTTCCAGCCGTGTAGTCCTGGATGTATAAATCTAAGCATCTGTCTGTTCTTATGAAAACCACAGCATTGTCACAATTTTTATAGGCTGTAAACTGGTTGAACCACTGTGCAACTTAAGGCAAAGGTGGGGCATATATGAGAGGCTTTCATCTTTGACAGATATTCTTATTGTCCTTAATACTAGCCTTCTGAGTTGCAGTCCTGTGTGAGTGTTGCAAAAGCAGCATGTTAGTCATTTGAACGTCAGAATCTATTTAATACATGAATATGGCTGTGTTTGTTTGAAGCAGGAAGTAAAGTCATTAAAAAATAGTGTTGTCTTTTTACAGTGTAAAGAGTGATGCCAATTATGTTTACTTAAGTAATCACAGAGGAAATGTATTTTGCTCTTCTCTCATGTCCTGTGTTACAGTTTTGAACTATTAAGAGTTTGGGTTTGCCAACTAGAATTAAGGGGGGAGGGAAGTTTTTAGGTAAAATGCATCTAATTTCTGAGCCCTAATTTCGATTCCTGTAAGCAGGACTGTCTCCATAGAAAGGTGGAAACTACTTGTCTTGAGCATATTGAAGTTACATACAACATTAAGGCTGTGGCAGTTAAACTGAAAGGGGATAGAAATGTCCAAAAGATTGCATAAGGGTTTCTTACTGCAGTTTCCCCTTTTGGGCCCACTGTGTATGTGTATCCCAGACAGGATTGAGTAAATGCCAAGGCTTTTTATTTTGTGGTTGGACTTTTAATCTGTTCCAGATCTGTTCAGTCAAAGAGCTCAAGTGAAACTGAAGGGGGCAGGAAAGGGGGGAGGGGAAAAAAACCATGTGAGCTCTTCTGGTCTGGAGTGATGGCAAATAGAGACAGGCTGCTAGCTGCTGTTGAGCTTGAAGGAGTTTTCCTTGAAATGTGAAGTTGTATACATTCTAGTGCGGTTTGCGTTTTTATCATTTGTGCCAAGAAAGTATAAAATCTTATTCTTGTTCCTCTTTCTGATATGACCGTCTCCAGGCCACTCTAGCAGAGCACCCGCTATAGTTTTGTGAGGCAAGCTAGGTGAAGTAATGCCTTTTAATGGACAACTTCAACTGATGAAAGAGACAAGCTTTTGAGCTTACACAGAGCTCTTCCTCGGGTCATATTTTTGGTGACGGAGTTAATTTAGTGTGTGCCTGGTGTTTATTTTACTTTCTCATGTGCAGATCTTCAGTAAATATGTGCTGATTTGATTTCTCAGGTGTGATTAATTAAAGTTTACCTAGAATCATAGGGCTGGAAAGGAACCCAGAAGGTCATCAATTCTAGCCCCCTGCCCAAAGCAGGACCAATCCCAACTAAATCAACCCAGCCAGGGCTTTGTCAAGCCAAGACTTAAAAACCTCTAGGGATGGAGATTCCACCACTTCCCTAGGTAACCCATTCCAGTGCTTCATCACCCTCCTAGTGAAATAGTTTTTCCTAATATCCAACATAGACCTCCTCCACTGTAACTTGAGACCATTGCTCTTTGTTCTGCCTTCCGTCACTTCTGAGAACAGCCTCTCTGCATCCTCTTTGGAATCTCCCTTCAGAAAGCTCAGCCTCTTCTCATAGGCCATGTGCTCCAGCCCCCTAATCATTTTGATTGCCCTCTGCTGGACCCTCTCCAATGCATCCACATCCTTTCTATAGAAGGGAGCCCAGAACTGGACGCAATACGCCAGATGTGGCCTAACCAGAACCGAATAAAGAGGAATAATCATTTCCCTAGATCTACTGGCAATGTTCCTCCTAATGCAACGTAATATTCCATTTGCCTTCTTAGCTACAAGGGCCCGTGTTGACTCATATCCAGCTTCTCATCCATTGTAATCCCTAAGTCCTTTTCTGCCGAACTAATCATAGAATCATAGGACTGGAAGGGACCTCGAGAGGTCATCGAGTCCAGCCCCCCGCCCTCAAGGCAGGACCAAGCTCCGTCTACACCATCCCTGACAGATGTCTATCTAACCTGTTCTTAAATATCTCCAGAGAGGGAGATTCCACCACCTCCCTTGGCAATTTATTCCAATATTTGACCACCCTGACAGTTAGGAATGTTTTCCTAATGTCCAATCTAAACCTCCCCTGCTGCACTTTAAGCCCATTACTCCATGTCCTGTCCTCAGAAACCAAGAGGAACAAATTTTCGCCTTCCTCCTTGTGACACCCTTTTAGATATTTGAAAACCACTATCATGTCCCCCCTTAATCTTCTTTTTTCCAAACTAAACAAGCCCAGTTCATGAAGCCTGGCTTCATAGGCTTCTCTAGACCTTTAATCATTCTTGTCACTCTTCTCTGTACCCTTTCCAATTTCTCCACATCTTTCTTGAAATGTGGCGCCCAGAACTGGACACAGTACTCCAGCTGAGGCCTAACTAGTGCAGAATAGAGCGGCAGAATGACTTCACGAGTTTTGCTTACAACACACCTGTTAATACAACCTAGAATCATATTTGCTTTTTTGGCAACAGCATCACACTGTTGACTCATATTCAACTTGTGGTCCACTATGACCCCTAGATCCCTTTCCGCCATGCTCCTTCCTAGACAGTCGCTTCCCATCTTGTATGTATGGAACTGATTGTTCCTTCCTAAGTGGAGCACTTTGCATTTCTCTCTATTAAACCTCATCCTGTTTACCTCCGACCATTTCTCTAACTTGCTAAGGTCATTTTGAATTATGTCCCTATCCTCCAAAGAAGTCGCAACCCCACCCAGTTTGGTATCATCTGCAAACTTAATAAGAGTACTCTCTATCCCAATATCTACATCATTGATGAAGATATTGAACAGTACGGGTCCCAAAACAGACCCTTGAGGAACTCCACTTGTTATCCCTTTCCAGCAGGATTTAGAACCGTTAACAACAACTCTCTGACTACGGTTATCCAGCCAATTATGCACCCACCTTATCGTGGCCCTATCTAAGTTATATTTGCCTAGTTTATCAATAAGAATATCATGCGAGACCGTATCAAATGCCTTACTAAAGTCTAGGTATATGACATCCACCGCTTCTCCCTTATCCACAAGGCTCGTTATCTTATCAAAGAAAGCTATCAGATTAGTTTGGCATGACTTGTTCTTCACAAACCCATGCTGGCTATTCCCTATCACTTTATTACCTTCCAAGTGTTTGCATATGATTTCCTTAATTACCTGCTCCATTATCTTCCCTGGGACAGACGTTAAACTGACCGGTCTATAATTTCCTGGGTTGTTCTTATTCCCCTTTTTATAGATGGGCACAATATTTGCCCTTTTCCAGTCTTCTGGAATCTCCCCTGTCTGCCATGATTTTTCAAAGATCATAGCTAAAGGCTCAGATACCTCCTCTATCAGCTCCTTGAGTATCCTGGGATGCATTTCATCAGGACCTGGTGACTTGCTGACATCTAACTTTCCTAAGTGATTTTTAACTTGTTCTTTGTG